GTTCTGAAAATTCCCGAAGAACGTGTTTTTTACATTTTAAATCAAGATTTAGGCATGAGAAAGCTGGGTACCGCGTTTACTCATGTTAGATCAAAAACGTCTTCAAATAAACGTTTCCAGCGCTCGGTTAGCGCAGTTTAAGTACAATGAATCAGAGTTTTGACGTCAATTAATTGCTGTAGATGAAACTTGGATACACCTAATCAAAAAGAGAGTCAAAACAGTGGACTTCGAAGGGGGAACCGACTACGAAAAAAGCAAAAGCTGTTTTTTCGGCTGGGAAAGTGATGGCGACTGTTTTTTGGGATAGCCATGGAGTCATCTTAATCGATTATCTTCAAAAACGAAAAAGCATTACAGGAGCATACTACGCATCATTATTTAACAAGCAGAGGACAGAAATTGCGAAAAAACTGTCACATTTTCAAAAAAAAATCGGTTGAACTGCTTGACCATCAGCTTTGCTCACTAGATCTAGCCCCAAGCGAATTTTGTTTGTTTCTAAAAACTCGGAGTAAAAAGATTTTCGTGAACAATTATTTTGGGGAGAAAAACGCTGGGTACCATTTGGACGGGGCAGAAAAAAACTGAGAAAAAATGTCTTGTATGATTTCTCGTTTTGTCTGAATATCCAATAAAAAGTAACATTCCAATTCCCTGAGTTTCAATATTAAATTTCCGTTTCTTATTCTTTTGCTCAAAAAATGTAAGAGACGCAAAATCCGAATACGGAAACAATTTAAAAGAGGAAAGGAAAAAAATGCAATTCCCGATTTTTAAATGAATTTGCTCCATAATTTAAACAGTGCATATTATTCTGTAAGCTGGAGGGTGGTACCCGCCCCTGTCGCGAAAACTACTATACTCAGCATACATTTTGTCTCGACTTATTGGTGTACTGATTTTAATGAGAGAGGAGTCCTTCGATACGTAATTACATAAATTATTATATCTTGACTTATCCGATTTCAACAATCTCGGGCTTGTTTAAGAGAGAAAGGTGCGACACTTCAAGTAGCCCATAGTTTCATATAAAATTTCTAGTATATTGACTTCTTTAAATTGTGTAGTAATGCGTTCATTTATAATACCTCGAGGAGGATTTTGTGGATGGAGTAGAAAAGAGAATAGAGTAATAGTGAAAGATAGGGAAAAGTCATTCTTTATGAAAGTTTTTGCTTGGTTTAAAATAAGGTTCGCAATACCTCACGTTTGTTTTTTGTACAATGTACGAAAAAAATACAAAAAAAATAGAATTCGATAAAAAGTAAAGAGTAACATTAAACACAAATGTTTTAAATTTCAAAATTCATTTTTACAAATTTACATTACAAATTTTCATGTATGCTCATTATTATTATTTTGTTCGATTGCAACTTTTGTGACGTATTTGTCAAAATAAGAAAAATGTATTGACTTGAGAGCAGAAAATATTTAGAATCAAAAATTGACGATTTTTTGTATGAGTCCGTCATACAGAAAATCGTCAATGGCATATTAGATAATAATGTATTTGATTTTAAATCAAAAATTCAAAAGCAGAGTGAGGCGAAAATGACTTCATTTGATTACAAAATCCAAAAAATAGTCCCAAAAAAAAAGTCTAGTGACTGGATCAATCAGGAGGTCTTGAGATGATGATACAAAAAGGGCAACTCTATAAAATCAAAACAAAAAATCTTGGAAATCTACAGTTGGATACTTAGTCTAGAAATATGAGAAATCGAGTTAATAATAAAATAAAATGTTTAAAAATAGATATTTTAAAATACAGTAGAATAAAACAGGCAAAAACCCAATAAAAACAAAGAATACATTTTTCAAAGATATGTTAAGTGAAAATAAGTTTACCTGTATAGAAAGAGACGATCAGCTTGAATAATCATTTTTCAAAAGTCAGAGAAACAATTGTCAATAACCTTGAACAAGAAATAACTTATTTAAATTAACCAAAACTTCTGTAACGAAATCGTTTGTGTTAGCATTTTAGAATCAAAATTAACTGTGGATTTTGTTAATAGAATTTCTAAGGCTCTTAATGATAAATGAGCGCTGTGGCTGTATATGCATATTAAATTGACAGGGGTCCTGGGACCCCTGTCAATTTAAAAAATACTGAACTTAAAGCACGTCATTACACATTCGCAGATGATACTGCCCTAGTACATGTTGAAAATTAATATTAGGAAAAAAATATGGTTTCTACGCAAAAAATAAAAATATAAATCATATAAATGTCCAAATCAATGATATACAACTGGACAAAAAAATAACAATACCAAAACCTTTTTTTTTAAGTGTAGAAATTATTTAACTAATAAAACAAATCAATGATTACTTAGATATTTAATACCCATATGGGGATAAAGCACCGACACAAATGTCGTTAAAATGCAATCCTTACAATACAAAATTTTAAATATATTAAATAATTATCATAGGCTAGCCAATACAGATACCTTACGAGTATATAGAGAATTACGTATGCATCAACTCAAAGAAATACTTCAAATTAAATATTATGAATGAACACCAAAAAACAAATACATTATGAATCATTACTAATAGGTCCATAACTATGAAACTAGAATAATAAATTATACATATCAAATTAAAAAAAAATGAAATTTTTTGATTTTTGCTTGAAAATCTGTATTTTGAAATTTAAATCGCCCATAATATCGCCAATAACATTTTGTGTTTAAGCTGTACTCTCTACACTGCATACTTTACTCTTTAGCATATTTTTTATTTCTCCTTTTAGTTTTTTTTTGTCCTCTTATCTACTCCATCAGTGAACAAGGATTTATTTCAAGCATGTGCAATAAAAAATGATTTAACGGAGCATGTTCTTCTTGAAATAAGAATTTCATTTGCAATTTGACATAATATTGATCTAATAAAGTTTTATTAGTTGTATTTCAAGGTATTTAAACTGGGTGATGTTTTGCCGAATGGAACATAAGATATCCCATGTAAATTTTTAGAGCCCAAATAATGGCTCCCCTGCACATTTTATAGCAAAGTTATAATATAACTTTTAATGATTAACTCATATGCCGAGTGTAAATAAATTTTAATAAGCCAATCTTCAGTTACTGAATTAAATATGATGGCAAAATTGCAACAGATCAGTACAACAAACATCAGCGAATATTTTCCATGACGCTATTTCCAAAACTGTACTGGACAATGACATACCAAAGGTTGGATTACAATAAAGACATGCACATTTGGTTTCACATATTCAAAATGAGCTAAGTATGTAGGTATATGTTTTTCTTAGGATCAAACTCATACTCGGTGCTGAAGAACTCTTAAAGCATTTCTGGAATGAATTTCGTGTAAAGGACAGTTTAAGCTTCAAGGAACGACTATAAATTTTACACTCAGGTCTTTTATTAAAAATAATTAATAATTATAAAAAACTACCGCTACATTTCTAACATTGCTTTGTTCTGTCACATTCTAAGGAAATAGCGTTTTGGAACTTGGAAACCGCAGAAAAAAGTCGTTCGGTGAGACCTGAGTGGCCAAAACATACGGCACCTTGGGCCATTAATATTCCCGTTAATATATATAAATACGACATTTGACTCACGAGTTTATTTGAAACGAGTGATTTACAAAGTTTACTGAGCGTGTTGCATACTATACTTTATCTACGACCGTTCGGTTTTGGGTGAATTTTCGCAAAACAACACGATTGCGATTGCTCCCAAACCAGTCGGGTGAAATCCCAGAAACGTCCGAAGTGGCTCAGATCCGTGAAAAACGAAACTGACGTGACGCTTTCCGCACGCTAGATCGGAGTGGCATTTTGCAGACGGGAGTAGAAAAAGGTATTTCCCAAATACTCCTTAACCATATGGGAATTATAAACGGGAAAACCATCTATTGGATACCAGATCTCCTGATCTTCACGAACAACTTCTTCTAAGTCGGGTTCAATTTGATTTTGTAATAAATCCAAATAGGGTTCTACCGTGAGGTTAGAGTCCATAAAAAATGGCCCAATAATAATATGATGTCCGCAAATTTCCACAATAAAATTGTTTGAGGATATTGGCTTAGAGTATGAACAAAACTATATGCATTCTCTTGGCTTCCATACCAACAGTTGCGAACATTTGGTTCGTTGGTGAGTGTGAATGTACATTCATCAGTGAAACAAATATATTTTTTTAAATTCCTATCATTATTTTCTTTTTCCACATTTCAAAACAAAATGGTGCTTTTCGTATTTATAGAAAAAAGATTTGTGTGTTTTTAATGTGCAGAACGCTGTGGTTTGACGTTTATTTACAGCTTGTCCAAAAATCCTCGTACTAATGATTTTGTTTTCCTCCACATGCAGAAAAAAGTTCAAATCTCTATTGTCCATTTCTTCTACTCTATTAGCGACATTTTCAGCTGAACATTTGCAGTTATTTATTACGGTATCTTCCTACTAGAATTGGGTAATAATACGTTTCATTCTTGAAATCAAGGGTCAATTTAATAACGCATATTTAGCTTTAATTAAAACGCGTTTAATAACGTATAATAATCACTAATAAAAATATTATTAGTCACAAATTTACGTGTTGTCATTGTCAAAACGTATTTTATTGGCGCTTGATTTATTACATAAAACCATATAGCTTTAAGCATAAAACTATAATTTTTTTCCAATTTTGCCATCATATTTAATTCAATAACTGAACATTGGATTACTAAAATGTATTCAACCTCGGCACATGAGCAAATTTATATGGGATTTCCAATGTTCAGTTCGGCAATGCATCACCCGGTATATTTATATATATTTAAATAAAATTTTCACCTTTTATTTCATTCGCACGCTGACTGACTGAAAAAAGCATAACTAGGAATGGCAAATATTTCTTTTTTGGCTTATTTTATAATACTCAATAACTGTATAAAATTAAAATTTCTCGTTTGTGTATAAGTATCACAGCCTACCCTACATTAAACGTTCTGAAACCGCTTTAACTCACCATCTTGTTGGAATTCGACGTAGTCGCAATCACGGTGCCCAAAAATCTATTCGCGATAGCGAACCACGCCAAGTTGGTCTTGTATTCCTCCTGGTCAGATCCGCCAGCGCTCAGACCCTCTCTCGACCGCTTGATTTTATTCAATTCCTGCGCATACGTGCTTCTGATGTTCTTGATTTTGTTTTTCAGCTCGTTCACCCCGAACTCCGGCATATTCATCGACTCGATTATAGTCTGGCATGCCTTTTCCCTCGCGCTGCGGTTCTTGTAGGCCGGATGACGGTAGTTCCACAAGCACTCCGCCTCCTCGTATAGCCGCACGAACTTGATCGTCTCGGTTTCGCGCCATTTTTTGCTAACCGCCATTTCACTGCAAAATAATTGCGACGATGTAACCAACGAATCAATTGTTTTTCATTCTTGCTTAGCAAGCTGGTTTCCCTTACCCCACTTCAGGAAATATCAATTATACACTTCACTTCTGTGACAAGAATAGTGTCAAACCGCAGTGAAACAAGGGGAAAGCGTAAATATTTGAGAAATAAGCTGCGGAATTAAATCAATGCAATTAAATGCAAGTACTTAACTAAGTACAGAGCAAATGAAGAACAGAGTAAATTTTCATTATCTCATTTCAAAAGTTACAAAAGTTATGAGGAAATTTCAAATAAAAACGTTGTAAATATTATTAGGACGCACAATTTAAAATTTAAAGTATACAGGGGTGCCTCACATATGTGTGACGAATAAAACATACATCTTTTTAAATGTAACACCCAATTTTTTAATTTTGTTTTAAATCCTTTTAAAATTATTCAACATTTTTATTGGTAAAAATACATACCTAAATCTAATATTTTTTTCAATATTTTAATTTTTTTTGAAAAATACAAATTTTCACACTTGCGATAAAATAACGATACCGCCATTACTTTTAAAGATAAATCACTCATATTTGATATTAACCTTATTCGAATATAAGTAAAGAATATATAAAACGGACTTGAAATTAGATGCTACAGCGCATTCAAAATAGAGGATCTTACCAAAAACCGATAAATTTTACAAAGTATATCATATTACAATTTTACAATATGACAATTTTAATACGCGATTTATTTTAACTTTTCCATTATTTACCCTTCTTTCTAAGACTATTGATATAATATTATCTGGCCATGACTATACTACTAGCCAACAGGGCTCTCTTAAGACTAATAAATGAACTGGAGAAAGAACTTTGTTGGAGCCGTAGCTAAACCAGTTATTAGCAATATTTGATGAAAACAACGGAAAAATTTTACTAAATTAACTTATCCTATTTTTAATTATTATTATTGCGCAATAAATGTTCGAAAATAAGCCGTTCTACTTAGATACACATGCGTAGTCTTTTTCGTATATTTTCTTAGCATAAACGGAGTTATTCCTGTGCGATTCACATAAACACGATCTTTAACATATCCCCACAAGATGAAATCCACTGGTGCTAAGTCACTCGATCGATTAATCTACCTCTACCGGTCCACTTCTGTGGGTAATGATTATTTACAAATTGTCGAAGTTTTGGATGGTAATGCGGAGAAGCTCCATCAGGTTTTTGATGGATGTCTATGTTATCAACTTCTCGAGGAACATGAAAGGTAAAAAGTTTAAACATCCTAGGCCCTTTAAAATGAATATAAAAAAGTGTTTTATTTCATACCACACATTACGTGAATAAATAAATAAACAGCTACTGGTAACTTCTTGCACAAAATAACTACGGGATCGCCCAATATTGACTAATATAGAGGGAGCAATAAAAGATATAAATGCTCATTGAATAGTGGCTTTTTATTGTTAAGTCAAGCTTTCGCCCAAGTATTCAGGCTTCCTCAGGACTCTAAAATATAAAAGGGAAAAAACACTCTATCACAACAACAAGAAAAAAAAAAACAAAACACAGTAGGCTAGTCAATACATACATCAATTTGCCATCAATTAAACTCTAACAGCAGAGGGGGCACAATACTCCTTGCACAACTAGAACACCACGTCTTAGCCATTAGTAAAGGCTGCACAGATGGTAATTAGTAAAACAAAGGAAACTTATGTCTAGACAACTAGTCATTAATTAATAAGTAAAATAACCAGGAACGACACACACACACACACACACACACACACACACACACATATATATATATATATATATATATATATATATATATATATATATATATATATATATATATATATATATATATATATATATATATATATATATATATATATATATATATATATATATATCCACCTCCCCCCACGCACAAGCAGCACCGTTACCATCTCCGGCCCAGAGTATAAATACCGCACGCACCGCCGATAACCTCCCAGTGTTCGAAGTGTTTTCGGAGCGCGAGCATTGAAGATGCCAAGTGAGATTTTGGCGAAACGTCTGCAGGATTCTAGTCGGATGCAAGATTTGCAGGATTCCAGTCGGATGCAGGATTCCAGTCGGAGCTTAACGAGCGAACGGATGATATCCCGGAATATAGTGTCATCACATTTTTCCATCCGTGAATCAATACGTGAATATATATATATATATATATATATATATATATATATATATATATATATATATTCACGTATTGATTGACTATATTCCGGGATATCATCCGTTCGCTTGTTGAACTCCGACTGGAATCCTACAGACGTTTCGCCAAAATCTCACTTGGTATCTTCAATGCTCGCGCTCCGAAAACACTTCGAACACCCTTTTTTTTGTCTGCTGGCATTATTAGAATATTTTCGTTTTTGTTTAGATTCGAAGTGTTTTCGGAGCACGAACATTGAAGATGCCAAGTGAGATTTTGGCGAAATGTCTGCAGGATTCCAGTCGGAGTTCAACAAGCGAACGGATAATATCCCGGAATATAGTGTCATCACATTTTTCCATCCGTGAATCAATACGTGAATATATATATATATATATATATATATATATATATATATATATATATATATATATATAGTTCCATCCGTGAAGGACTAAAACAAACCATATATTTCACTTTTAAAAAATAACTTTTTAAAAAATGTATTTATTAACTTTAAATTAAAATTATAATCAAAATGAAATTGGACATAATAACCTCGTGACGAGAGAATGTTATTAGACCGTTAAAATCAAACTAAGAATGGACATAATAACCTCATGATGAGAGAATGTTATCAGACCGTTAAAATCAAAGTAAAAATGGACATAATAACCTCGTGATGAGAGAATGTTATCAGACAACGTTTTACAATAAAAATTAGTATTTATAATAAATTTATGCTGACGTTGACGGGGTCGACGGCTGCGGATGTTGCGACATATCGTTGACACGACGTTTTCGCAATCGTTGCACTCTTGCAGGTCGGTGGCATTTAACCCACGTGGACAATAGGATTTCCGGATATAACATATATATATATATATATATATATATATATATATATATATATATATATATATATATATATATATATATATATATATATACATATTTTCGGAGTTAGTGATTTGAGTTGCATAGGGAGCAGGGGTCTTCGACTTGGCTTCGGAGGTTGTTGAGGATCGTTACCATCGGCGATGCTGAGTATTGTCGGTTTCTTTCTCCGGCATTTGCAAATGAAACAGCAAAGTTTAGTTTCAGGGGTTTCAACTCTGGGGGTTGAAACTTCTCTGGAATTTGAGGACAGCAATCATATGGAATCTTAACGGCGTGGCTCTTGTAGGTCACGTTCTTATATTCTTCGACACAGTGTTTAGCTCGTACTCTGGAGTTTCCAATAAATGCACTCGAATTTGTGCAGCTTTTTAGATCTTCAGGTATTACATAGAGTAAAGAATCGTCATCACGCGCAATATATTTTATTGTTGTTGCAATTATATGAAATAAACGTGTTCGATTGTCCAAAATTGGAATAGCTAAAACACGATACAATGTGTATATTTCAGGTTCTATTAAGGTTATTCTTCGTACAAAAACAATTTTATTTTCAGTTTGAAATGCTTCTAGCTCCGTAATATCTACGTACCTTGCAATGCTCGAAGTATAGGGTGGTAGTGATAAATTATTTTTTGTCAAGGATTTTGAAATTTCCTGAAGAGAAATGACTAAATCTCGTGGGTAAATAATAGAACAATGTAAAACTTTGATTCGTCTGACCGTGATTGCGTTTAATATATCGTTAAGGTAAGACTCTAGGTATACATAACCTTCCGTAAAGCTTTCACAAAGATTAAGTGTTTTAATTTGACATTCGTAAAATGCTACGGTGTCCGAAATATCATAGAGAGATTTTTGAATTTGAGTTAGATCTTGATTAAAAGTTTCTTCGTCGATTCGGAGAGTTGTAGAATTAAAAGATTTTGTTACTTTATCTATACATTCATTAAAGTATTCGCCGTCTGTAGGGTCTAGGTTTCCGGTAATTGTGCTGTGTGTTTCATAAGGGGAAAAACCATGTGTTTTATTCTTTGTGTTGTTGTAGCGGATTATTGCGTATGGAAGAGCATGAAAGGGGTGTTCTTTTGGAGTTTCGACTTTATGAGCTCGGATCATTTCTGTGAGCGTGGCATGGAATCTTTCTAGTGATCTATTAGATTGTGGGTGGCTAACGCTGGAGAAAGTTAACTTTATATCGTACAAAAGACAAAGATCTTTGACAAGGGAGTTATCAAATTCTCGGCCATGGTCACAATGTACTCTAAGAGGAGTTCCAAAATGTTGGAAGTAGAGAAGAAGGGTAGTTACAATAGTAGAAGCTTTTTTATCTTTTATTGGATATGCCTGGGTGAATTTTGTGAGTTCATCTCTTATGGTAAGGGCGTAATTACGAACTAGGAATTCGAAAATATCGATGTTAATGCGCTCAAAAGGAGTTTTAGGAGTTTCTTTAATAACTAATGGTGTGCTGAAGTTTTTACGATAGATTTTGCCTTTTTGGCATATTTCGCACTTTCTAATATAATTTTCGTCATCTTTGGTCAAGGTTGGCCAATTGTATTTTTGTTTTATTCGCTTAATTGTTTCATTGATTCAGCGATGTAAATTATTTTTTCCTGAATGGTATTGGTCTAAAATGATAGGGATTTCGTCTTGATCGAGAGTTCGAACTATATCTTGGCCGATTCTTAGTTTTATATCTTTTTCGGAAAATATAAAGGAGAATACTTCTATTATGGGAAGTTGTAAATTATTTTCAATACAATATAGTTTTGAAAGGTCAAAGTTACTTTTTGCTGTGAATAAAATATAGAATAAATGTTGAACTACAGTTTCATTGTCATATGGAAGAGGGATTATATAATATTTCCTGCCTTTGACGGTTTTG